TTGCAGACAATGAGCTGCGTTCACTTTTCATATGACAGCAGCAAAGCCACTGCATAGTGTTGCACAGATACCAAGTACAGTACTCGGTACAAGTACGAATACATGTACCGATACTTTTGAGCTCCAAGACTAGACTAGAGAAAAATTCAAAAATTAGGAGGAGGCAGCTGTCATATGTAAGGAGTACACAGAGTTCCTGTGATTTGTACATCTGTTTTAATGTATGAATTTGTTTTTATAAATATAAAGGGATGCACAGATACCAGTTTTGCGAGTACGAGTACTGGTACTTGCAGAGTACTTACAAGTATGAGTACTGATACATTTTTGTTTATTGTCATGTGACAGTTTTTCTAAAACAATACAGACTAATGATTTCAGGACAGTGGTGGAGTGCCAGAGCCAGGTCCCAGCTGCAACCCTGGTAGTTCTCATGAAAATGCCAAGTATCTGTACTGGTACTCGAAAAGTATCTGTGCATCCCTAGTTTTTTCTCATTCAGCCCATGGTACTGAACAAGAAAAAGGGCCATGCATGGCCAGCTTAAGAAAAACACAGCAATCGTTCAAAGTCTTTTAAACCCTTCCAACTACAGTCCTGTTTAGGAGCGATTAGCTGCTACTGCCAGAAAACAGAAGCATCAAACAAAAAAAACGATCTACAATGAAGCTCACCAAAATCTTTGGTACATATATAATTTGGCAAATAAAATGGCCTTCAGTGGACTATTTTCTCAAAAAAAACAATTCTTAAATTGAATTGAATATAGATAAGGCCAATTTACATGCAAATACCCCTCAGCAGATATCAGAGGGAAAAAAAACAAACAAATAATTAGGACAGAAGCCATGATGTTAAAACAATTTTAAATTGTTTCTCTTGAGTGAGCGCCATCAATTAAGTTACTTCTTTCTGTAACTGCACATATGTGACAGGTACATTTGAAAGCCACAAAAAAAAAAAGAGAGTAGCCAAAGTGAAAAGAATTCATTCATACGTGTGTAAGTGGCCACTTAGCACGAATGCAGCTAAAACAGCACAGAATCACTACAATAGGACTGCAGATCACCATGAAATTCTATGGTAATTGGACGTTTAACCATGGCAATCCTATTCAACTCAGGGTGAGTTATGGCAGTTTTACAATTTGAGTGCCTTAAATTAGGTGCCTGTATACGGTGCAATGAAAGAAAAAAGGAAACACATTATATATGTACACACACATCCCCCCCATAAAACTATATATTGTTTATTGATAAATATACAAAACACACAGGCACATTGTGTGTGTGTGTATATATATATTATATATATATA